TTGCATTACTCAGTCAGCCGCCGCTACCGTGCCGGGCTTGGCGTTCCCATGCCAACATGCCGGCGTGCCATCGCGCAAGGGGCCAGTGAGTGTGTGAGGCGGAGGTGGGGGTGGTGGGGCTGCCGCTGACCGTTGCTTGCTGACGCTGACGCTGCTCTTACCTGCGGGGGGAGGGGGTGGGTCGGGAGCCAAGGCCGGGCAAAAGATGCCTGGGCCCTACTCAAGGGAACCGAGGGAGTCACTGTGCCAGGGCAGCAGCATGCTCCTCATGGCACCGGTCGGCAAACCGGGCCAGCCGGCCCTGCCTGGCCTGGCCGAGGAAGGCGGCCAGGGAGGGCAAGGCGTGGCCGGGACTGTGGAAGAGCTCAGCATACTCCTCCCTCAGCCCAGCGTATAGGGGGCAGTCATAAAAGGTAAAGGTGGGGAAGAGCCTCCACAAGCTTCACTTCCCGGTTTTAACGTCTAGCTTTAGACCATTATTTGATCTGCCCGACGCGCCAAGTGCAGTACCCCCCACTAGTAGTGAATGGGTCCCGGGGAGGCCTGTGCCGAAGCCTTGGCGATTCTATTAGGCGTTCCCGAAGGAATTGGCTTGGATTGGCGCTGAGCCGGTCAGCTATGCCGCGTTTGTCCTCACAAAGTTTCGACATGGGAGGAATCGAACCTGTGCCCTCTCGGAGGGTTTAGACACTAGCTCCAGCGCCTTCAAAGAAGGCCTTTCTTAGCCGCGGCCTAAACCATAGTCATACACCATAGCCATACCACAGTCATACACTGCGTGGCGTACGTCCTCTAGAGGGGCCTGGCAGTGGGGGCATGGGCGCTGGGTGCGGTCCAGCCGCTGCCACCGGCCTGTCTCCTCAGCCATCCAGTGCGACCCCGTGCGCCACTGCGCCAGGCGCACCCGGCGCCGGCGCTCGGGCACATCGCACAGGAACGACGCAGGCGTGTAGGCCTCCGCAGAGATGCTGCCCCCCCACACGTCCTCAATGTACCGCTGCACCTTCACGGATGCATGCGTGTACGAGGCAACATGGCGCTCCAGGAGCGCTTCCGCCAATTCAGGTATGGCAACCCCCTCGTCAGCAGTCAAGTCGCAGGGGGCGCCGGCCGCCGCGAGAACGCGGCTAACCTGCGCTGCCCAGGGCTGCCGGGCCAGTGGCAGCCCTGTGTCCGTGTCGGCAGCCAGCGCAACGCTATCCAGCATGGCAAGACGGGCGACCCGCTCGCCGCCCATAGCCTGCAGGTTGCTCACAAAGCGTGCAACCTGCAAGGTCCAGTAGGCGGGCAGCGGCAGCTGCCCCGTCTCTGCCAGCACAGTGAGGGCTGGGGTGCTGTCCCGCACACCCAGCAGCCCTCGCAGGTACTCCAGCTGTACCCGCTCGCATGCCGTCCTGCCCTGCAGAATCAGCTGCGGCGCCCAGATCTCTGCCCCGTATGACAACGTCGGCAGGACGTAAGACTTGAACGCACGCATGCTGAGCACGGGGTCCTGCAACCCATTCTCGGCCAGGCGGCGACGCAGCAGTGCATCGCGCGCCGCCCAGCCTCCGCCCGATACGATG